CCGAGTCCGGGCACCGCTCCGGGGTTGAGACCGTGTGGCTGACGACTGACTCCAACGCCATCAAGGAGGTTGACCGGGACACGCTCGAGCCGATCGGGCTCGCGGAGCAGAAGGACCTGCACCCGTCGCTGCGCGGCCCGATAAGCTGCGCGCACGCCCACGTCGACCCGGACACAGGCGATGTCTTCAACTATAACCTGGACCTGGGCAAGACGTCGACGTACCGCGTCTTCCGCGTCAACGCCGCGACGGGCACGACCGACATCCTTGCGACGATAGCTCGCCCGGACGTGGCGCCCGTGTACGCGCACTCGTTCCTGCTCTCGCGGTCGTTTGTCATCATGTGCGTCAGCTCGACGCACATTGGGAACATGGGCCTTGGCGTGGTCTGGGACCGCAACATTGCCGACGCCATCGAGCCCTTTGACGAGTCAAAGAGGTGCAAGTGGATCGTTGTCGACCGGCGGCACGGGCGCGGCGTGGTGGGCACGTTTGAAACGCCCGCGGGCTTCTTCTTCCATAGCGTCAACGCCTTTGACGAGGACGAGGACGAGAGCGAAGACGTCAGTCTGTTCTGCGACGTGCTCGAGTACCCGACGCTCGACGTGATCAGGAGCTTCGAGCTCGACGTGATCCGCGGGACGCACACGGGCAAGACGGGCGACGAGAAGCACACGCGCAGCGGGTTCTGGGGTAACACGGAGTCGAGCAGGAACAGCCTGCCGACGCTCGTGCGGCACAAGTTTGTCGTGCGTGGCTACAACCATAAGTCCTCCGGCACCACAGGCAGCAGCAACAAGAGCCTTCTAGGCAGCTTCGTCCCGTGGCCCGTCAGCTCGGCATACAGCTACGCGGCCGACACGGTCCGGGGCGTGGTCCCGGGCCTCGGCACCAGCAGCAACCACGACTGGCAGTGGCGGGCTGGGGAGAAGCTCTGCGCCATCCGGGCGCCGCGCGTGGGCGAGCTGCCGACCATCAACCCGCGCTTCGCGACGCGGCGGTACCGGTACGTCTACACGCTGCCCAACACGGGCAGGACGGCGCTGCTCGACAGCATATCCAAGACGGACCTCGACACGCGCACCAGCCTGTTCTGGGACAACCCCGAGGGGCACACCCCGGGGGAGGCCATCTTTGTGCCGCGCCCGCGGGCTGCTCGTGGGGCTGCGAGGGCACGGGGGTGGGAGGAGGAGACGAAGAGAATGGCGATGGTGATGGGGAGCAGGACGAGGACGACGGCGTGCTGCTCAGCGTGGTGCTCGACGGGTTCGGCAAGACGAGCTACCTCGTCTGCCTGGACGCGCGGACAATGAAGGAGCTAGGCCGGGCAGAGTGCGAATGGGCCATCGGGCACGGGTTCCACGGGATACATGCCTCTGCTGTTGGTGGTGGTGCTGTTCCTTCATAGGTTAGAGGGAGGGGGAGGGGGGTTGAAGTCATGGTAGGGATCACGACTCACCCATTGCATTGTAAACTTCAGTGTATCTGTTTCCAAAACAGCCACTGGAGTAGGTCTTTCTTTGTCCATAGAGATTCGAGATGTCTAGAATGTGTAAAGCGCGCTTAGCTTTCTCCCGATGTCTCGGCCACCTTGGGCACGTCTGCTCAAAAAACTCGACAGTGGCGGAATCCCCCCCCCGCGCTCGTACAAAGATACAGTGTGCATCCGGATACGCCGCCTGACTTGAGAGCTCGTTTGTTGGTAGACTTTCCCGACGCTCTCTTTCTCTCCCTCTTTTCTCAAATTTTATCATTTTGTTCTTTACGTTGCAGCAGTCTTCCATCGTCGTAGGAGTCGCCAGAGTTAACAGAGTCGTGCGTACACTTTTCGATTTTCTTTAATACCAAACTCGCAGATCCAACCGACTAGACTTGCTAGGCCAGGGTCCCAAAAACCCCCCCTTTGTAGCATTTGAGAGAAGCAGAGCATTGTCTCGCCCACCTATCTATCAACAACTATATTCTAGAGGCTATGTTGACTGTCTGTTCTCGTTAATGTAATGCTGGCCGGGCACTGGGAATCAGCTGATGGTGAATACCTCGCTGGATGTGGTGATTTGCTTTTCGTCCAGTCTATCCACAGAAGAGTACTTTTTCCCTTCCTCCCCCTTTTTCTTGCCTCGGAAAAAAAAGAGAGTCGCCGTGACTGCAAGCAGGAACGAGCATGGTAAAGCACGTGGTTCAGAAGCCAAGCTGGTCGCTAATTTAAATAAGAACTAAATTTTAACCAATCTGTCATGTGTCCCTGCAAATCGAAACATCTTGACATCTCCCCGTTGCTAGTAATATCGATATATACACGAAAATTTCACAAGTCTGTAGTCCATCACCACTGCGCGGACAGTTGGTGCCTCTGACAACCACCGGCCAGCCAGCCCTTCTGGGTGCTGCACGTCATCTACTTCTTCACAGGCGTGAGCCGGCACATTAGCGGCGGCTTGTTCCACGTGTTGAACGCCTTTACGTGCTTGCAGTCGCCGCTGGGGTCCCAAATATCAAACTTGGTGTTTGCGCTGGCGGGCAGGTCAATATCTGACCGCTCAATGTCAAAGTGCCACAGCAGATGGGCCAGAATGAGGCGCAGCTCGAGATATGTCAGATGCTTGCCTATGCAGCCTCGAGGACCCAGACTGAACGGCTGGCTGGCCTCCTTTTGGTCGTTGGCGAATTCGGGCCCGGCCTCAGGGAGCCAGCGCTCCGGGACGAAATCGTCAGGCCGGTGGAAATTGCGCGGCGAATGGGTGGCCGACCAGGCGTAAACGGAAACGGTGGTACCACCTGGCAGCCACTCGCCGTCGACGGTATCGCCACCCTCGGGGACGGTGCGGGTGAGGCCTGTTGGGACCGGCGGGAATATCCGAAGCCCCTCATCGATGCAAGCGTTCATGTAGGGCAGCTCGGCGAGTTGGGTAAACTTCATGTTCTTGGCCGAGTGCGGGAAGCTGGACCGGACCTCCTGGGTGAGGCGCTCATAGGCGTGAGGAGTCCGGAGGAGCCACATGAGAAGGCCCGAGAGAAGAGATGCTGTCGTCTCGGATCCGGCGACACTAGGTAACGGAAAGAAATCGTCGTTAGAGGATTGTCATGCGAAACGACTTCCCTAATCATGCCGAAACTCACATAAAGAGGGCACTATTAAGAATGATTTCGTTCTGGCGGACACCCCCCTTCTCGTTGGCGCGTAGAATATAGTAGAGAAAGTCGTTGTGCTCGCGTGTTAGACCCTCTTCGATGCGTCTAAGCAAAAGTATTGTCAGCTGCAAGTCCCCCGGCTGTAAACAAACAGACTCGCAAAACTCACTGCAGGCACTTCTCTTTGCTCAGCTCGAGATGCTCGGAGCGTTTCCTTCGCAGATCGGCTGGGATGAGCTTGACGAGCTGCCGCTGGAGAAAGCTGTTTGTCTTGAACATGCGGCGAGTGGCCTGCTCAAAGGCGCCTGCCTTGATGGTAAGAGTGATGAGTGAGACCCAGTCGTGCCAAACACCATCGCGAAGACACCCGAATGGGCGGCCGAAGGCCATGTCGCCGATGATGTCGAAGGTAGTGAAGTCTGACGGTGGTTAATGACGTTCATCGACCCAGAGGACGAGGACAAGTCTCGAGGCACTCACTGAACCAGTCGCACATGTTAACGGGCTTTTGGTTGTCCGCAAAGACGGAGAGCTTTGTGACCATGAGGTCGACGTAGCCGCGAATAATGGTTTCCTGCTCGAGCAGGGCCTTTTGGCTGAAGGCGTGGCTGAGGGTGCGGCGCTGGCGGGAGTGCTCTTCGTCGTTGGCCATGGTGAGGGTGGTGCTGCCGGGGAGGTCCTGGACAGAGCCGACGTGGATGGGATCCTTGTGGAACTGGGGGTGGCCCTGGCGGTGGCCGTAGATGTCGCGCCAGCCACCGGCCGTGCTGAAGGACAGCTCCGAGGGCATGAGGCGGACGACGGGGCCGTACTTGAGGTGCAGTTGGTGGACGTCAAAGGGCCACCGGCCTCGGAAGAGGCCATAGATGCTGTAGACGCCCGAGATCTTGGCCAGCAAGGGGCCCGGAAAGCGGGCGAGCGGGTGGAAGTAGACATTGTAGACGCAACGCCATATCATGTAGGCAACACTCTGTGGGATGAGAAGGGGGTTCAGCACTTGTCTCGTGGATGAAGAGAGAGAGAGTTGAGGGGAGCGCGTAGTAGACATACCGCACCGGCGCCGCCGAGGGCGACCAGGTTGAAGTTGCTGAGGATTAGTTCGACGAGCCCCATCACGGCGGGTTAGTGCCGTCTCCACGAGGCACTTGTTCAGCAGTGTCGCTTCGCTCTCATGGGTGACGGGGAGTGTAGCGGTTAGAGCTTGTGCATCCGTGATGCAGTTGGCAGAAAGTTGGAGGATCCAGGCGCGAATAGAAATTTGTTTATATGAAAGCCAGCCCACGGAAGGTGTGAGGCAGCCCCAGCGGGGGCGTGCCTTCCTTTCTTTGCTCAACACCAGAGAACGGTCAACCCCGCCATGGCAACAATCTCCAATTTCTAGCCCCAAACACGCACCCATGTTCGTCATTCCATTTTACTCCGGATGCCCAAGTGTGGCTCGTTTCTACAGCCCTCCTAAGTCATCGTTGACGTCCGCTTCCCCACATCCCCGCGCTGTGGCGGCCTCTTGGCAGGATATCCTTATCCTCGGGATCTGATTACCCGCGTGCCGGGGTTTTGACCCCAAGTGTCGCCCGAGTCAGCTTGAACCTGGTTGGGATTGACTGCCGAGTCAGCCGTGATTTGCTCAGTGTGCGTCGCACCTGCATGATTCACTTGTCCTACTCAATTATTATTTTGGAGCCTGCGAGCTACAGTTTGCAGTCGCAACAACTACGAGTAGTCTAGGTTGGTTCCTTGTAAGGGGAGAGATACACTGGTGCTGCAGATTCCAGCAATGCGTCAACAGAAGCTGCAAGCAACATGCACAGCTACGCACCATTGTAACAAAGTTAAGGTTATTGATAAAAACCAGGTCTTTCAGCTAATCCTCCGTGGCGCAATTGGCTAGCGCGTCTGACTGTTATCTCGCTCATCCAGAGTGTCCCGACATCAGGAGGTTGACAGTTCAAGCCTGTCCGGGGGAGTAGTTCTTTTTGCACTTTGTGTGCTTATCGCGTGCGGCCCCCCTGGTTTCAATGTTGCGCACTCGCACATATTCTGGATTTTGTGGTGTGTAGTTTCTTTTTTTTGTCTCCGATTCGTCAGAACTGACATGGTGATGCTTTGGCCGATCGACAGTCTCGATGCCTCATCTCGCCTCCGTCATTTATTCTGGTGCCCAATTTTCTATGTATGTGCCAGCGTGCGAAGAATCCCTATAGGCGATACCTGCCGTCAACTCGAGACAAATCAAGATTGCGAGGACTGGAAGTAAATAACCTTTCCACGCGCCGCGGATGATGGGCTTCGTGGAGTGTCTCACGCCTTCCTTCTCGCGTGCTAGACCTAACGCTAGAGGATGAGCTTGCAATGTGAAGTATACAAAGATAGATGATAAGACCCTGTGACTCTCCCTTCCCCAACAACAGGTGTCTATTTGCTGACAATACCCTGAGAAGGAACAACAAAAGGGCGAGCTCACAGCGAGTTCTTGCAAGTTCAAAATGCGCCCTCGGAGGTCAGGGGCTCGCCGGAAAAGGCGTAGTGGTCATGTCTCATTCTTAGTCTTCCACTGAAAAGACCACTATGGCTAGACCGCCCTTTTGTGCACGTCGCTAGCATGACATTCTTCGATGAAAACAATTAAGATTGCCCTTGAATCAACTCTCAGCCGCACAAGGATCCTCAAGGGAGGTAGGGTTCACCGGCTTGTTCCATGTATCACATCTTCCCTGCCTAGATTATCTGCTGCTTCCCGCCTCTAGCATGGAAAAACTACTACGATGCATGTGTACAATAAGACATTGTCTACCAGCAGACGATCTTGCTACCTGTGGGAGCAATCCCCGACAGCGAACCGATCACGATGAAGCTCCTCCAGCTCATCAGCCTAGTGACCTCCATGGCCGCCATGGTTGCAAGCGCCCCTGCCACTCACTCGTCCCGAGAGGGGGGCATTACTTCTGATGCAACTCACAATCTCTCTATGCTAGCATCACGCCGCGGCGATGACGACACGACTGAAGACACAACGTCAGCCAAACACGGTCCCTTAGAGACTGTAGATGATGGTTGGGAGTTCTTGACGCTGTCCGAGACCAGCGGCGAGGCTGGACAAGGCACGACCCTCCCGCCTGTGCTCATCCCAAGAAACCTCGACGAGGGAGAGGACACGTCTGCAGCCGCCAACGTCTACTACTACAACTTCGGCAAGCTCCACGAGAAAGTTGTATCCTCGGCGAACATCGTGCGCGGAGATATGGCCGCTGGGCGCAAGAAACTGCGGCAGCTTGCCCACAAGGAGATCGCGATGACGCCCGCTGTGAAGACGGAGCTTCTAGTTCATTCAATTCCCAAGGTATTTCATGATAAGCAGCACGTAAGTAGGTTAAAATATGATTGGTTCCCTTCACCGCAAATAAGAAAACTCGCCTCGGATCGTTTCGACCTAATATCTCCGCGCTTGGCATATAAGGATGCCGATGCTGAGTAGGATATAAGCCACATAATATAGAACTGTGAGAAACAGGTTTTCGATGGCGTATCTAAGCCATCGCGGGTATTTCAATGGCGAGAGGGACAGCAACTTGTACATATAATATGGGATGCAGAACGCTGCTGCTTGTGTGGCAAGGCACAGGCCACTCAGAAGAAATAGGGCCCATAACGGGAGTGCCACAGGCCTGCGAGTTGAGGCACGGGCGACCTCCATTTGTGCGGCCACTGCTGAGACCAAGGCTGTTGTTGCGGGATAGCAGAAGATGACGGTCCAAAGCATCCCCCAATGAGTAAACCAGAACGCGGCAATGGTGTAACGTCCTTCCGTGGTTGTATTTGGTGCTTTTCCCCATTGGACAGCAATGAAGTGGTTCGTGAAGGCGGAAGTCAGGCTTGCTGTTATGATCCAGAAGTAGCAAGCGAGGAGCTGACACATGACTACCCAGCGTGTGCGTACCGCCAGATCTGCAACCACAAGCTGTTGTACGAAGTCGAGTTTTCTGGTCGTTCTGTTTCTCATATCACGTACAAGGCCGTGGCTGCCTCTTGGTGGCAAGGCGCTGCTACCAAGATTGCCAAAATCTCGTCTTGCCGGCTGCGATTCCAGCTCGACTAGTAGCAGCACCTGGTGCTCCGGCTGTGCCTCTCCCTGAGACTGTTCGGGAAGATACGGTCTGGAGTTACTGCTGCCCAGTTGTTGCGAGTCAGACTTCTCCTCCAAGAACTTTCTTGCAATGGTAAACAGAGGCGACGCGAGAAGCACAACGGCGATGATTTGTCCAAAATTCCACGTGTCGAGGTCCGCGGACTCGGCATCTAACAACTTTTGTAACCAGCCATTGGTGATTCGCGTTGAAAGCAACTTCATGAAACCCCACAGGGTAAGAAAAATTACCCAGAGTATCTGTTGCGATGTATCAGTCCCAGCGGAAGCTTGATTATGGTGCATAATCTTATAACTGCTGGGCGACAACCTACCTCAGCAACCACGGAGCTGTAGATATCTGCAGTCCATCGCAGACACAGATAGAGACCCATGACAGGTAGGATTACCAGATCTGTCCATAGATGAGCCAAAAGCATAGATCCTGGTGAAATAGATGAACTCAAGCGCTTGCTTAGCCCTATCAGAACGCTGAGAAGTTGCCGAAAGAATCTACTAATGGGTTGTCGGCCATATATGAATACGCCGTGTGACAATGTCGGGAATAGCTTGATGCATCGAATAACGAAGCCGAAGATTAGTAGCGCCATTGAGAATAACATGGATTGCATAGATCCTGCTCCCAATATGGCCAACTCTTCATTCAAGCTCGCTCCATAACGTGCGAGGATAGCCCATAACGTGTATGCTGTCGAATAATTAAAATAACAAATCGCTGGTGATAGTGGGAGAGGTGGATGCCGTGACATATTATTCCAGAAAAATGTCCAGTCGAAGAAGCCGGTTGGAATCATCGCCACAAGAAGCGAGACGAGGACAAGTGCCATGAGTAGTAGTCGGGAAATTTTCAGACGTGGGCGTGTGCTAAAATGCTCCCGGAGGCACGTCGATCCCGCCATGTGTGTTGAGGCTGAGAACCAAGCGAGCAGGACTACCGTCTGCCAGTCGCTTGCCGTTAGCGGTGCGGTCGCGTGGCTCAGTGATGCAAACCCGCTTGATAAAATCGCCAGCCCTGTGATGGCTTGAATATCGCACATGTCGAGGATGCACTGGTGATTAAATGTCAGCATCTAAGCATTCATGGAGTGTGCCAGGATTCGCCTACCTCATCGATAGTGCGTGCAAGTACATGGACGCTGAGATTGCGCTGACACGGGGTAGTCCATCGACGAATGATGGACAAGACAGCACGATCGATCGGATTCGGCTTCCAGTGTCTTTCTTGTCGACACCTTGCTCCGCAACTAGACGACAGAGTTTCTGTGCTGTGGCTACAAGAAACGGGCCTTGCTAGTGGATCGAAGGCAATTATGTACTTGACAAATATCAGCAGCACTGCAATGATAGTTGATCCAGCAAAGCCTATTAGGACCTAGTTCTATCAGCTTGGCTGGACTTCCAGAGTATCGAGCGAGGGGTGATGGAAACTGGGAAGATACTCCTATTCCCATGATGTCCGGACTGAGCCTGATATCTCGGCCTTCGTATCGCTCCAAGAGAGCTTCACGTGAGCAGTCATAGTCGTAATTAAAAGGACGATTACCCATTGGATTGTAATTGAGACAAATGGTGCGAAGAAGGTAATGTTTTAGGTAACTGAGATCTGAGTGCGAAAGGCAGAGCAGGCAATGATTAGCAATTTGAGCTTGCAAAAATCCGAAGTGTTCAAGGTTGAAAGGCTAGCAAGTCTTGCAGCCTAGGGGTGGTCAGCATTCAATGTTGGCGTAGTGCGCTGGGCTGTGTGCGTGCCAAGGCAGGCGCAGCCAAGCACGATAAGCAGCAATGTTGGAGCGTGAGTCTGCCTGACGCACAGAGTAAGCACACCTGTATGTAGAGGCGAGGCACTTCGGAGCCCGGGTGACGGTTGCGCTGAGAAAGGCCACCAAGCCCGCCCGCATCGTAGACTACTCTGCGTGGAGTTGAGTAGGAGTGCTCCTGATTCACTTTGCCTCGTGCTCTCTCAACTCTATGAGGAAGACAGTGTGGCACATCGTCTGAGAAATAACGGGCTAGTGCTTAACTTGCAGAAGTGTTTCTACTATCGAAACGGGGATAAGCTGCGAGCTCGCAAAGTCCACCTCTCAGTCTTCGACCACAATGTCACTTCTCCGCAGCGGCGTAACAAGCTAATTGTATAGCAAGGACTCTTGGACGACTCTCGCGTAGTGACGACATACCCAGCATATCTATCCTTAACAACAGGAATTCATGCAAACAAGCGCACGCCTCAGCTAGGATGTGACGCCCACGACGTCTATCCAGAATACGTTGATCAGAACTCCCGCAGGTTCGCAATACGAGTTCTGATCAACAAGAGCCACTTGACTGCAATATACTACTAAGGCGGGTGCTATGCGCCATCCATGACTGGCCGTGACGTGCATGAATCGAGCCCGGTTAAGTAGCCCGGGCGGACAGCTGACCTGTGGGTGTCTAATAGCCGCGCCGAGTTCGGCATGGTAGAGCTCATGCTCAATGCGCCTTATAGATCCCACCGAGCCATTATCCCCGATCACTATAGGTAGGATATATCAGAGTATGGTAAAGCACTACACTGATGACATAGCCTTTACGTATAAGTAGGGCAAGATTAGACTTGAGCGGATGGCTTCACCTCGAAATGCATAGATATTCTATCGTCTCAGATTGCGAGTCCCCTAAGGACCCCGTTGTTGCACCCCTAGGCTTTAGAATATGGATCAGCTCTAATTTCGGTGCATGCAGATAAACGCCTTGTTAGGAATCTCTAACACATAGCTACCGACGCAGTAGCGAAGGACTTCAAGGACAAGGACAATGACTCGCAAGAGGCAAAAGAAGACA